ATGAGTTCATATGACTGGCTCCCTAGTCGAGAAGCACTAAACTAAGAACTATAAGAAAATTTAATAGGCCACCATGAAGCTAGCTAATTACACAATGTTTTTAGAATACGCTATTTACTTTTTTTTGAATTTTTTAATGTTTATTTATTTTTGAGAGAGAGAAAGAGAGAGAAGGGGAGGGCAGAGATAGAGGGATACACAGAATCCAAAGCAGACTTTAGGCTCCGAGTTGCCAGCAGAGAGCCTAACTCGGGCCTTGAACCCACGAACTGTGAGATCATGACTGGAGCCAAAGTCTGACTCATCACCCTAACCGACTGGGCCACCCAGATGCCCCTACTTTTTGTTTAGTTATTACGCGAAGAGGCAAGACCACCAGCCCAACCTTGGCGCCCACCCCACCTTTGCCACCACCACCAGTGAACGCTCACCAGCCACCCATTCTGGACAACTGGGATGGAGGGTGAGGAGAGCAGGCTGCCTGACCAGACTCCTCATTGGACCTCATGACTGGGCAGCTCCACAAGCTCTTGCACTGCGTACCACCTGCTGTGCTCTCCCCTCCCAGGGGCCGTTACGCTTCTCACCTTTTATTCAACATTTCAATTTTCCTTCATGACAATCACAACTGAAAGGAGTGGACATTCCTTGGTGCCCCATCTCTTTCTATTACTTCTTGGTGAAGTTTGTTTCTTCCTCTGAAAAAAGGGTATTGGAGGTTTACCTCATGATGCAGTTGTGAAAATAAAGTCATACACATTTTCAAAGAAACTTTTATTTTACATTGTAATTCTTTAAATTTGTGCTGCAGTTGCTTCCTCACTTGCTTTATCCTTGCTGAGGGACAGGAGACTACCTTTTCGTTTCTGTCTCCTTGAATGCCTAACACAGCGTCATACACACATCAGAACTGTTTTCACTCATTCAACAAACATTTGTTGAGCATCACAGCTGTACCACTCTCTTGGGCTCTGTGTTTACTGCAATAAACAATCAATCCCTACTTTGTGTCATAAAATGTGCTAAATTGACCTTTTTGATTGTATTTACCATCTATTCAGCTGGCAGACATGACTGTAAAATGTAAAATCTTACCTCCAGCAGTACCAGGAAGGGTACCTGGGCAAATGACACAACCAGCCAGTCTAAACGATCTGATTAAATGGGACAGAAATAAATAGCACCTGAGATGTTGCTAGTGACATGGCCACTACTGAATGCACCAACGTCCCACTGAACACATGTCCATGGTCCTCAAAGATGTGTATTTAGTTCTTAAAAGTCTGTCTCCTCAGTTAGCCTGTGAACCTTGAGGATAGTAATTATGTATTTCAAAAATTTTTTTAAATATTTATTCATTTTTGAGAGACAGAGAGAGACAGAACACGAGCAGGGGAGGGGCAGAGAGAGAGGGACACACAGAATCTGAAGCGGGCTCCAGGCTCTGAGCTGTCAGCACAGAGCCCAATGCAGAACTGTGAGATCATGACCTGAGGTGAAGTCAGACGCTTAATCGACTGAGCCACCCAGGCACCCTGTAATCACGTATTTTATCTTTGCATTTCCTTCTGCCTTCAGAAATAACCCAATGCCTGGATTTAGTAGATGCTCACTAAAGTAATTACTAGTAGAATGAAATAGTGGAGAAGAGGGTATATATTTTTAACGGTCAAACTTTTTACTGGCTACTATAATAAATATTTCAAAAATATATCCACTGATTATATTGTTACACAGATCAGTGAGTGAATGCCAATCACGTGCTGTTATTAAGCATGCTAAATGTTACCACTTAGCATTCTATGCTGCCTTACTTGACTACACTTGAAATGTATCATTTTGTTTTTCTCCTTTCTGGGATTTACAACTTAAGATGCCTAGAGGCAAATAAATGGGAAACAGACTCTGAAGGTCAATCAACTTATGGCAAAGGATCCGTGTGCAATATTAGCTATCACTAGCCGAAACTTGAATTCAATATTAGTTTAGGAAATCCAGACCTATGGACCTATGGGTTTTCCAGGTTTGCATGTTTAATATAAGGTAAATTACACCTTGCACACTGGGGTGGGGGGTGCGGGAAGGTACTGAAAATTAGCCAGCTGTCCCAGTACAGCAGGATGCCATTGAAATCACTGCTTCCTCTAGACTTTAACTTAATTTACCATCTAGTTGGTTGAAAACTTCAGCTAGTAACTTAGTCTGGTAACCACCTTTTTATAGAATTTTTGGGAAATTTGATCATCAAAATTGTTTTAAAATGCATCCTTCACTGATAGCTATAAATTCTAGCAGCGTTCCTGCGTGATATACTCCTACTGATATCATACTTAAAATTTAAATAGGTCTTTAGTTAAGTATAAGAAATAAGCATGTATAAATAACTTGGTTATATCAAAAAGTTAGTTACTACTATAAAATACTACAAAAATGAGTTTATTAGAAATAAACATATAAGAAAAGAAGGACCCTGAATGAAGCTGACTGATAATTAATAAGAAATTACTTCACAAATCATTTGAGGTATTAAAAAATTATGTTAGTCCATTTTGGCTGCTATAACAAAAATATCATAGACTGACGGCTCATAAACAACAGAAATGTATTCCTTGCAGTTCTAAAAAGTCCAAGATCAAGTGCCCAGCAGATGCTGTGTCTGGTAAGAGCCCACTTCCTGTTTCATAGATGGCAGTATTTTCACTATGCCCTCAAGTGGAAGAAGGGACAGGGGAGTTCCTTGCTTTTCTTTTATAAAGGAGCTAATCCATGAGGCACCAGGGTGGCTCTGTTGGTTGAGCTTCAAACTCTTGATATCAGCTTAGGTCATGATCCCATGGTCATGAAATTGAACCCCATGTTAGGCTCCGTGTTGAGTGTGGAGCCTGCTTGAGATTCTCTCTCCCTTTCTCCTTCTGTCACTCACTCTCTTTCTCTCAAATAAACAAACTTTTTAAAAAGTATATTGAGGTACTAATCCATTCACAAGGGCTCTACCCTCCACCCTCATGTTCTGATCATCCCCCAAAGTCTCACTTCCAAATACATCACATTAGGGGATTAAATTTTAACCTATGAATTCTGGGGGACACAAACATTCAGTCTATAGGATTCCATCCTTGGTCAGGACAAAATTCATGTCCTTCTCACATGCAAAATACATTCATTTCATCTTAACAGCCAAAAAGTCTCAACTTGTTCTAGCATCAACTCAAAAGTCTGGGAGTTCAAAGTCGCATCTAAATAAGATATGGGGTGAAACTAAAGTATGACTTATCCTGAGGTAAAGTCCTTTTCATCTGTGAACCTGCAAAACCAATTATGTGCTTCCAAGATCCAATGGTGGGATAGGCATAGGATGGACATTCTCATTCCCAAAGAGAGAAACAGGAAAGAAGAAAGGAGTGACAGGTCCCAGCTAAGTCCAAGACCAAATAGCACAAATATTAAACCTTAAGGCTCAAGAATATCTTTGACTCAATGCTCGGCCTTCTGGGCCCATTGGGGTGGCCATATTACCCACAGGGCTCGGCAGAATGGCTTTCCCTGCAGAGACTCACTGCCTGTGCCTTCTGGATCTCTAGGCTGGGGTGCCCTGGCCTTTGAGATCTAGGTGAAGGCAACCATGTCCTCTCCAATTGGACCTCTAAGCATCAACAGAAATGGGGCCATATGGACCTGTGCCCTCTGCCTGCACCCTCCTGAAATGTGGCCACTGAATGCCAAGCCATACAGGGGCCACCACAGTCACATCGGGCTTGGCAGAGAAGCATGGGAAGACAGTGCAGAGAGAGCAGAGCCCCCCATGTCAGGTAGTGTGGAGAAAGGTCCCACAGGTGCTGAAGGCCCCTCCTTTGAAGCACTCAGGCCCCCTAAACCCTTGTAATCGGGGCCTACAACGAGAGCGACAGCTCTGTTGATCACTGAACCACCTTCGGGGTCATTCTTCCACACTGTCTTTAGAGACTAGTGTACTGGCTTCTGTTCACAAGGCTCATCCATATTAATCTCCTTATCAGTACATTAGGCACATCCTAAATGTTCTCATTTTTTGCTATATGGATAGGCTGCAAATTTCCCAAGTTTTTAAGTTCTGTTTCCTTTTAACAATTCTGCCTTTAAGTCACTTCTCTCGGGTTGCATTTTACTGTAAGAAGTCAGGGGGACCCCTAACTGCACCATCAACACTCTGCCTAGAGCTCGCTTCAGCTACACCTCTAGTTTTATCACTTGCAAGCTCTATGTTCCACAAAACACTAAAACATGAACACAGCTCTGCCAAGTTCTTTGCCCCTTTATAATAAAAAGGGCCTCTCCTGAAGTTTCCTATAACCTGCTCCTCATTTCCATCTGAGACCTCATGAGATAGGTCCTTACCAATTCATGTTTCTACCAACATTCTGTTCAGGATTAGTTAGCTATTCTCTAAGAATACTGAGGCTTTCTCTCTCTCTTCTTTCCAAGCTCCCATCAGCATCACCTTTAAAGTTCTCTTAAAACATCTAGGCTTTTTCTAGAATGCATCCAAAACCCAGCTTCTACCCATTACCCAGTCCCAAAGCTGCTTCCACATCTGTAGGTATTTGTTACAGCAGCACCCCCACTTCTCAGTATCGATTTCAGTCTTAATCCATTTGGGCGACTGTACAAAAAATACTGTAGACTAGGTGGCTTACACAACAAATATTTATCTTTCACAGTTCTGAGGCTGGGAAATCCAAGATCAAGGTGCTGGCAGATTCCAAGGACACTAATCTCATTCATGAGGGCTCCACCAACATGACCTATCAACTCCCGAAGTCTCCATCTCCACACACCATCACACGGGGCAAGTCGTATCTGGGGGAAACACAAGCATTCAGTCTATAGCAAAGACTCAATCGCAAGTCAAAAAATAAAGCAGTATTTTACTATAAACCATATTATATTTATTCAAAAGCCAAAAGCAATATGAAGAAGCTTGAAAACAGGGAGTAGCTTTTTTTTAGTAAACCTGATCAACTTTACACAATGAAATACCATTAAGAAATATGGAAATTTTAATATGAACCATAGTATAAAAATATAAGACACATCACTACTTTTAAAGAAGATGGATTACAACTGTAAGAGACAACTTAGTAGCATGAAAACTTTGAACAGAAATTGAAAATGTCATATGTTAAATAATTTTTTCTTAGCATTATGCAGCAGTTCTTGGGATGTAGGGATGCGGGCAAGTAAAAATGAAGTGTATATAGATAAATTTTCTCAATGTTATTGTCTCATTTGCTATACAAAATGTCAGATATTATTATAAGAAATAATATATATGTTTAAGACTGCAATTGCATTTTCAAATATAAGGTAATTATACTTTTTAGAAAAGTAGCAGTTTTACATTTAAAAAAAGCTAGTAGTAGCATCTAAATATAGAAATTATAAGAAACTGGGTAAAACAACTTTACCATGAAAAGACAAATATAATTTAAAAATGAAGCACCTTTCTTTGACTTTAATAAGAACTTTGGGCAAAGGCCCTCATCTCCAAATAATCCCATCAGAGAACACTCAGTCTTTATTCATTTAACAAGGAGAAGAATACATTTCATTCTACATACTGGCTGTGATGAAAAAACAGTCCATGTCCAGATAGGAAGGTAGAATATAAAAGACACAGGTTGATTCATCAGCGTCTATTCACCAATACACTGTGCTCTTAACTAGGTAATAACAACAAGTACATTTATACTTTAACAATGTTGATCCTACATAATTTTACTGTTAAGCTATAGTTCACAGCGAAGTTTTATCATTTTCTTTGTACAGGCAGATTTATCTACCATCTAAATAAAAAAGCAGCTAAAAAATATTAAACAATGTCAAAATTTGTAGTTTTGCTTTTACAAAGTGCTACACAGAATGCCACATTTCAAAATAGAAACGCTGTATCAACTCTTACAATTAGAAAAAACATGGTGATTATCAGTGATCTTGAAAGAAAGAGAAAAATTATCTCCTCTCTGTCACATCCAATGAGATACAAGGGTTCAATAGGCAATCCTAGAGATTGACCAAACATAGTTTATATATAAGGCACCTGAGACCACGAGAGATTAAATGGATTAAATGCAAGCTCCTTATAAAGGCACTGAAATCTCTGAGTTGCTCAGAGATGCAGACTGGCTGTGGCCCTTGTCAGCTCTTTTCCTGACAATCTGACCCTGACTCCATGTCCAGGCAGGTCCTGATAGACCACATTAGTGAATGAGGGAATAGGTGTGGAAAATACAAACCTTATGATTAAAAAAAATATATTTTATTTGGTAATAAAATCAAAATACCCATTGAGACTTAGAAACTTGCAAAACAAAGTCTTGATACATATGCACAAGTAAATTTTCCTCATACAATAATGCATAGTATTTCTGCCTGCCTTCCTTTTTGTTTTTAAAGATCAAGAGCATCATTCTTTTCTCCTGGAATCAAATTTGTCTTCAGTAACAGAACAAGTTGATGAAGAGGAGAGGTAGGAGTGGGTTGGGGATAAAAGCTATTTTACTCTACCTCAAAGACTGCTAAAAAGCTCACCGTTTCATGACCTATTACTGTGAGAGCCCTGGAATTCATTTTCCCTTATCTCATAGTAAAGTGTTTTCAAGCTCATTGTATTATGTTTACTTGGTTAATGAGTCATAGCTTTTTCAAGGTGAACTACTAGTCGACCAAGTAGACAGATAACCAATTAAAACACATGTTTAGATTGTGTTCTTGCCCTAACACACTTAGCCTACCTGTCAGAGCTAATACCCAGTAAAAATAGTCTGCAACAGCAGATACATATATTTGAAAATAATTCAGGGGATTGTAGGCCCGTTCCAACTTTTCTAATTTTTTTTTTAATTAACCATAATTGCTGGTTTGCTGTGTCCATCTATCTTGATGAACGTCTTGGTGATCTTTCAAAATACATGAAGTCCTGAAATAAGAAAAAAAATATACATATAACATATATGTATATATATGTATAATATAGAAAAAGAAAAAGAAAGAGATAACTGTATGTATATAGATAGATACATAATTAGATGCAATGCATAAAATATTATCCTTTATAATTTATCAGGTGTTTCTCTTTATAAATAAATCTAATGCTATCTTTATGAAGAGGACCTAATATGAAGAGCAGCAATTACAAATTTGAAACTGTTGACAGCCAATAGCCCTTCCATTTGGCAGTACCAATGAACTAAATTTTCATTGTTAGAAAGAAGAAAAACTTGACAATCAAAATTAAATGTTAAATATACCAACCGCAATACGTTACCTACATTTTTAAGGTAAATATTATCCATTTCATTTCTATGCTTTACTTACAAATATTAGCCATTAATCGGCCGGTAATCCCACAAGGGAACAGTACCTACTAAGTCTAAGGAAGATGTAACACCAAGGAGTACATTGACTGATAAGCAATAAGGTGGAGGGAAAGGACATAGCTCTAGTTATTTTATTTCCTCAAGATGTCATAGGACAGGCATCGTTAAGTAATGAGAAAGACAAATAACATGCCGTGATGACAATCACATGCACTGGATGTCTAATACTCTCCAAGGACTCTTTGGCCCCTTTACTCAGATGATAGCTAATGTTCCTCACCCTGAAAACTCTCAGTATTTTTATTTCCATCTTTCAGATAAGAAGAATGAGGCCTAGAGGTGTTCAACATTTTGCAAAACATGTAACTGACAGAGACAGACACTGGCCCACTTTCAAAGGTTATTGCCTATTTTACTATACTGCATCTCATCAGAAAGAATAATTCTCCAAGACAATTCAAAGTAAAAGGCTTACAATGAGGAAGCAGGCTCCAAAAATCATGGCTTTCATCTTCACATCCATGTCTAATGGGAAGTGAATTTCAAACTGATCAGCATCAGCCATTGCTGATAAAAGACCATTCCACTTCCTAATAATACTGCCAATGTTGGATACGCCATCTAGGGATTTGACCTAGAAAGAGAAGGATGTGACTGAATGATGATTGGAAAGTATTACATGTTTCATTCTTCTACTTAGAAGCACGTTAAACTGAGAGAGCAAGAACACAGTACAGGAAATTAATAACAGTAATAACATAATTTCAAACAGGGAATTATGGCCAAGAAGGGTTAAATGCCTTGCAACTGGTTAATAACTGAGCTGGGATCAATGATAGCCAGGTTATGGAGGGATCCCACCTGTCCATCAACTGATGAATGGATAAAGAAGCTGTGGTACACACACACACACACACACACACACACACACACACACACAGGAATACTACTCAGGGATGAAAAAGAATGAATCTTGCCATTTATAACAACATGGATGGAACTAATGGTATTATGCTAAGTGAAACCAGTCAGTCAGAAAAAGACTGATATATGATTTCACTCATATGTGGAATTTGAGAAACTCAACAGATGAATATAAGGGAAGGGAAGGAACGATAAGATAACAGCAGAGAGGGAGGTAAACAATAAGAAGCTCTTAAAGACAGAGAACTGAGGGTGCTAAAGGGGAGGTGGGTCAGGGTATGGATTAAATGGGTGATAGGCATTAAGGAGGGCACTTTTGGGGATGAGTACTGAGTGTCATATGTAAGAGATAAATCACTGGGTTCTACTCCTGAAACCAAGCCTACACTGTATGTTAACTGACTTGAATTAAAAAAACAAACAAAAAACCCCACAAAACACTGAGTGGAGGTATATTAGACAGTTCACAGGCCAGTGCTCTTGTCTTCATCCTCAAATAAGGTATGATTTGAGGGAGGTATGATTTGAATTGATTTTGAAATTCTTCATATAGTAAAGGGTGGGAACTGGGGATTGGGAGGGAGTCTAGAGAAACACATGAGGAAAAGTAAGGAAGCACAGTTCTACATATTTCACAAACTTCATATAATCATTCAAGTTGTGGGTCAAATCCATTATAGTATGTCAGAACCCTGAAGAGCTTTTGGCCCTCTAAAAGGGGGACTCTGGCACCTGCCAGAGGGAAAATACCCAAATACTAACCTTTGGCAATAAGAATGATCCTATGTACTTTGCCCCTGAAATTTGGCTACAGTTTTTATTTCTCTACCATGGTCTTTTATTAAATAAGCAATGCCTGGAGAACTAAAAAAGGTTTATTGGGTGTCATAGAAAATACTTGAATGAGCAACTTTAGATAATGAGCCTTGCTGAATTGCAAGGCATATATAAAGGGTTCTCTAAGAAGCTCCGAAAAAATTTCTAGAAATCTCCTTTGGCAAATTCAGAGGATAATAATCAATCATTTTGTAGCTGGTGAGATAAAGGCAAAACAAGAGGATTTTTCATTTTTCTGAGAATTTTATGAGTTTTATCCATGTTATCAGTGCTATCCTATCTCTTGAGGATACAGACAGACTTCTACCATGCAGATTAACACTTCGCATAGTCTTGGGGTGCTCCACATGTTCTGTGATCTGCTGGGCACTTACAGCACTCAGGACCTGTATCCCAATCCTGCAAACCTTTGGCAAAAATGGCTAATTAAATACAACCAAGAAATAAATAAATTGAATCAGTCGGGCTATTTTCTTCCAGGTTTAGTGTTTTACATAAGTCCTTCTCATCTTTATTAAACACTGAAATCATAAACAAAGTGGCTCACATCTGGAAAACATTAAGCAATCCACTAACAATAATTTGCAAATGATTTGATGTCAACCGATAACTATTTCCTATTTTATTCATTCACGTGAAAAAATAATTTAAAATGAAATAATTCTAAGGTCTGTTCATATATGTTAAAAAATAGTAGAAATGTTACTTTTGCATTTACCTCGAAAACAGAATCTGAGCCACAGCCATAGGTTGAACATGGTCCACGTACTCGCATCACATTTTCTTTCTTCTCATTCTGGATGCTGTACACTGCCCTGCACAGGTTCCAGTGTTCTGCAACAAAGCCAATGGTGACACCGGGAGGACACTGTACCTCCAGCTGCAAAGAAGCAGTGACAGAGGGAAGGAAGCTACATATACACCTGTACGCACACACACCACCCAGTACATATATGCCTGTACATGCACATGCCACCTAGTGCACATACACCTGTACATGCACACAACACACACACACACCACCCAGTATGTATACGCCTGTACACGCACATGCCACCTAGTACACATACACCTGCACATACATACACATACACCACCCAGTATGTATACGCCTGTACACACACACACTACCTGGTATGTATACACCTGTACATGCTCACACCACCTAGGAAGTATACACCTGTATGCGCTCACGTCACCTAGGTACATATATGCCTGTATGTACATACCACCTATTACATATACACCTATACAAACAGGCCACCTAGTACATATACAACTGTACGTGCACACACCACCTAGTACATATATAAGTGTATGCACACACCACCTACTGTACATATATGCCTGTATGCACACACGCCACCTAGGTTTGTTCTTCTGTCATTCGAGGACTGGAAAAAATGTTAATGGTGCAGATTCTTCCATTGTACCCAGGCTATCTCTTAGGGGTGTATGTCAGTGAACAGCCTTGAAAGGTGAAGTCACATTTCCCTTTGGGACAAAGTTACTGCTTGTTATACAAGGGTGGTTTCTCCAAACTCAGTGTTTCTCAGCTGTACTCAGCACCCGCCCACTCCTCTGAGTGAACCCCAGAGAACTTGGGGGCAAGGGGTCTATAAACAAGCTGCTCCGGACCCTGGAGTTGCTTCCTGTGCTCTAATAAGGTTCTTTGTCTCTGCTCTAGGTGCCTCGGGTCTTCTGGCACAATCCACGACAAAGTAACAAGGTAACTTCCTAGACTTAAATCTCAGACATGACAATTATAATAGAAAAGGGAAAGAGGAAAAAGTATTCTATAAACTGAATACTGTGAAACAACAGGATGTGTGTATGAACATATGAAGCCATTTTTAAAAGTTTTAAAATTGTCTACTACCCTGTTCTGACGAATCATCATTATCATATTCCTTTGTGAAGAACTAAGATCTTCATATTTAATAATAACAAGAACCATAAATTAAATTATTTAGTAAAAGCCCAGAGTTAAAGTTCTACTGGTGCCTCTTCTGGTGTCATACATACATACATTCACGCATATACATAAGCACATAAATTTGATAGCTTCCTAGGATTAAGATCTCATATAAGTTTAGGCCTAAGGGGGGAAAACCTGTATATAAGTAAATTACTTTTAAAAAATCATTTGAGAAGAAAACTCAACTCATGAATACGAAGAATTCCTAGCATCTCCAAAAGGACTGAGGATTAAAGGTGAAGATTCATCTCAAATATAAGGCTGTTATTACAAAGACAGTAATGAGACAGAAGATAGCTGGGAACAACAACTAACGTTCTCTGAGCGCTGTACTATCTGCCAGGTACTGTAACAACAGTTAACATTCATGTACTGTTTAATCCTCAAAGCCACCCTACGTGATAGTACCGTTATTATCTCCATCTTATGCGAAATCAAAACACAGAGAGGACTGTAAATGAACTAACACTCAGTAAGTGCTGGTCCTTAACATACTGTGTCTTTACGTATCCCAGTAATCCCATGGGATACTATGCATATTTATGTACAGGAGCTCTAAGGCCCAAAGAAGTGAAATAGATTATACAAATATAAATAGAGGGCATATCTAGAATTCAAACTTCTGGGTGACCTCTGTCTAAAGCTGCTGCTTTTCCCTGCAGCAAACAACCTTCCTAGAGCCTCACAGGTTGTAGAAGAGGAAGCTGGCTGTCACAGGCTGTCACTCGGAACATCTGCTCTCTATTCCAGCACTTGGTGGAGTGTAACACCCGCATCAGCACTTAATCTTTCTGAGCCACCCTTTCTTTATCTGTGAGAAGGTGTGGATTGGGATGGGCAGTGTACAGTTACCTAAAGGGTCTTCCAATTCTGAAAGTATCCAGTTATGTCTAGGGACACCTTACCTGCGGATGTGTGGGTGCATTTAGACAAATGTGTGTGGCTTCTCTTCTAGGTGTAACGGACATATTTCTAATTCAGTAGACACAACCGATAGAATTGTGGTCACCGAATAAACAACCCTAATTTGAGCCTGACTCCCCGCTAGCTTCAGAAGACAAGAGTCCACAAGAAAAATCCCTCTATGATTTCCCTCAGGGGAGACAATCTGGCGTCCCTCCCTCACCACTCTCTTCTTTCATTGTGACCAGCGGAGCCAGTGAAACCCCCTCGTGTGCCATTCTGGAAGGAGTGCAAGGATGCTGTGAAGAGCTGGACCAGGAAAAGACAAGGGCTCAGACCTGTGCTCTCTGACCTCTTGCCTGGTGGAGGGACAACAGAAGCAACAGCAGGTGCATCTGAAAGGCCTCTGCATGGTCATGATTTCTCGGCCCATACAGTCAGTGACTCGGAGGACGAAGGGCCTTAGTGTCCGATAAGCATTTCTGGTAAAGTCGTCTGTGTCTTCATTTACAACGTAAACCATCTGGTCCAGGTTGTTTTTAACGTCATATCCATTATTAGTTTCAAAAGATGTGATCACTAAGAAAATAAAATGAGAAGCCACTTTAAATTAGGAGCAGTTAAAATGGGCCTCAAGAAGTCCTTCTGTAGTATTTCTTAGGTGCTTAGAGCAAAATAGCTTTGTAAAATTTTAAAGTGACTTACATACAATTGATTAGGATACCAAATAATTCACTTGCCCAAAAAATATCTAGCAATTTTGAAAATTTAAAATATTTCTTTTAAGAAGGTCAGTATAAAATGATTTTTAAAACTTTTCCACATAAAACCAAAGACTGAAAGTATATTCCTGGTGTATCAGAATTCAGAAAGCTATCATTAAAAAGGCATTTAAATGAAGTTACACATTTTGCCATAAATTAATCAGCTCATGAAATATACTGAGATTACTAGGGTCATTACTAATTGCCAATAAGAAAATCAGAGACTCTATGTGGTAGTCAAATGAATGTGTGGATCTGGTGGTTAAAGTGCAGGTTAATAATCTAGTGAGGATGAACTGAGACCAGCCATTATGTTTACTGTGATTCCTTTTTACTTCCAAAGCAAGGGTACTGGACTATCACTCAGCAGATTTAGATTCTATTAGCTGACTGTGGTGCCCCTGATCAACTCATTTAGTGTCTTCACCCCTTCTTTTCCTCTTCCATGTAAGGTAAATATGCAGAATAGACCAGATAAAACGTAAACCTTTTTCAAGTCTAAGAATGTATGTATGATGTATAAATAGATAAAATTATACAAAATATTTCACTGTTACTTTCTTGAAAGGGTAAAATAAGATAGTCTTTTCACTTTGATCCACTAAGAAATGATCAATATAAATAAGGAACAAGATATCGAGTAATGCAAATTTCCACCTGATTCAAATACTGCTGCACACTACCAAATTATACATACTTTCCAGAGGCTCAAAATGCTGGAGGACGTGTATGGTGTCCAGCTGTTGGGATAGAACAAACCAATTAGGAAAAACAGAAATCACAGAATTGTTAGAAAAGGAACTGATGAAAAGGTTATCAATTGATACCAAAATATCTTTTTGGAATTGAGTGGAATAAAAACAAGTAGCAAGTGAAAGTGGCCTCTCTGCACCTGTTCCGCAGAGCTGTCCAGACGGGGAAAGCACTCTTCTCCAGTTCTACGTTAAAAGGCAAACAGATGCCTGGTATATCAGAAAATCATCTTCCCGCTTCAGTAACAGCATCCGGAAAAAGCTGTGTTTACACAGATTGTATCTAGCTCAGTCCTAACTCACTGGTCCCGTTGACATATCACCCACAGACTGAAGTTGCTGAAGTTCAAGAAGGTTTAATGCAGACTAGCCACAGAGGAGGCTATTTTCCCAGCAGCTTACAGGCAGCAAATCAGCCAGGGACCTCACACAAGAGTATCTGGTTTTATATTATTTTCACAGGTACCTCTAGAAGATGTTCACACACTGATTTCCAATCATTTGAGCTACTAATGTCAGGGTCTTCCTTGCATACTTCAATTAAAGGAGAGGGTCTACAAGGGCTAGAAACATGTGATTAGGATTAGGGCAAAGGGGAGGAAGCATTCTGGGATGGGATCTCTTGAAAAAGGAGCTGGGAAAACCACTGGATAAACTTCTACCTAAATTTCACTTAGGAATCACTCTAAAGTCAGACAGTTTGATGGGCTCATTACCTGATACAGTTGAGAATATTCTAGCAGAAAAGAGAAACTTCATTGAGGACAGAGTAATCACATCTACAGAATTTAATTTTTTTTAATGCTTATTTATTTTTGAGAGAGAGAGTGTGTGTGTTCAAGCTGGGGAGGGGAAGACAGAGAGGGAGACAGAGGATCTGAAGAAGACTCTGCACTTTCAATGCAGAGCCTGATTCAGGTCTTGAAATCACTGTGAGATCATGGCCTGAGCCGAAGTTGGACTGAGCAACCCGGGAGTCCCTCTATATAATTTTAGATGATACAGATCATTCTTAATCCCTAGGACAAGAATATTGCCTGAAATGTCATATTTCACCAAATACTCACTGAATACACTGGATAATAAAAAGTACATGAACGTGGTAAGTAAGAAAGTTAAAAATAACTAGACACAGGGGCAACTGGGTGGCTCAGTCGGTTAAGTGTCCGACTTGGGCTCAGGTCATGATTTCACAGTTCATGGGTTCGAGCCCCAGCCTCTGTGCTGACAGCTAGCTCAGAGCCCGGAGCCTGCTTCAGATTCTGAATCTCCCTCTCTCTCTGACACTCCCCTGCTCATGCTTGTCTCTCTCTCTCTCAGAAAAATGAAAAACAAAAAACCATTAAAAAAAATAACTAGACACAAATATTTTGTGGTGTAACTGATTACCGAGTATGGAGAGGCTAAAACCGTTCCTTCATTGAAAAATTTTTCTGGTATAAAAAACACAATCAACTGAGATGTAAACACACCTTATAAAATATCAAAAGTGGTCACTAAGGTGGTTTACAGTTCTTAAAAAAATATAGGACTAAAAGTAAAAATATTCACTATTGATAAAAGCATCCATTGCTGCATAGAATATTCTAAAGAAATAAGGCTTGTTAATATAAAAGGAGTTTGTCCAGAAGACACCATGGCTTTTAAGGAGCAGTTCTCTAACAAATCGGTGGAATCACTGGCAAAGCCAACACTCTAGAAAGAATATAATCCTGCTACTCTGGATACTCCAGAGTACTGACAGTCCTGATAATGATTCGTGGAATCTGCATAGGAGATTGCAAAAAGGCTAGGATAAGGAAAATGAAAGAGCAAATGATGGGCTCTGTCTTCTGTTTGCATACAAGGTGTTTCAACTAATAACATCCACCCAGGGAGACCAGGTGGCTCAGTTGGTTAAGTGTCCAACTTCAGCTCAGGTCATGATCTTGCAGTCTGTGAGTTCGAGCCCCACGTCGGGCTCTGTGCTGACAGCTCAGGGTCTGGAGCCTGCTTTGGATTCTGTGTCTCCCTCTTTCTCTGCCCCTCCCCTGCTCACATTTGGTCTCTCTCTCTCTCAAAATAAATAAACATTAAAACAAATTTTAAAAAATAACATCTACTCAGCTACCACCCTTTGGTTGGGCCCTTTGTGCCAAAAATAGTAAGCACAGTATAAAGCTTAGCTCCTTAAAAATTCCCCTAACAATCCAATAACGTATGTATTGCTAGTACTATTTTATTGATGATGAAATTCAAGCAACAGGTTAGGAAACTTATTGAAGGCTGCAGAATTTATTTTTTTTTTAATGTTTTATTTATTTCTAGGAGAGAGAGACAGAGACAGCGTGAGCACGGGAGGGTCAGAGAGAGAGGGAGTCACAGACTGACACAGGCTCCAGGCTCTAAGCTGGCAGTCAGCACAGAGCCTGACGCAGGGCTCGAACCCACGAACCGCGAGATCATGACCTAAGCGAAAGTCGCTTAACCGACTAAGCCACCCAGGCGCCCCATGAAGGCTGCAGAATTTAAAACCACATCTGTCTGCCTCTAAACCTATTTTGTTTCCTTTTCCACGTATTTTTTTAATTCAAAAGATTCCTGACAAAGGAAACAGAATTCAGAAATAACTTCTTTCGAATAGAAGAAATTAAGAAACTATTTTTTAACATTTAGATGAACAAAATTAAAGCTATACATTAAAAAGAGAAGTGACTCCAGATCTTGGATTTCTAAGGACAATTTCTATACTTATCATCTAGTACAAAAAAAAGCTTTTAAAACTTGATTAACTGTAAAACATTTTTAAGTGTCTGAAATAATGTAGAGTTTACCACATACTGAGTGACCGGCACTGTAGTTTGTCGTTATTTTGCCAAAACAAAAACTGAATAAAATTTTTTGTTCATTTGAAATCTCAAGTTTTGTGATCCAACTGTTTTGACTTTGAAATATCAACACTGTAACATTGTACCTATGGTTCTCAATGCACAGGATTCAGAGGGTTTCTATCTATACATAAAATTGAAAAGAGACACACATCAACTCCAAGGAATATTTGGCTGGCTATGTGGGTAGACATGTATTCAATTGGCAAGTCCCTTTCTTATAATGTATTTCAATACCTCTTTATTTACCTTGTTTATTTATTTTTAATTTATATCCAAGTGAGTTAGCATATAGTGTATTAATGATTTCGGGAGTAGATTCCAGTGACACATCATGTATATATAACAACCAGTGCTCATCCCAGCAAGTGTCTTCCTTAATGCCCCTTGCCCATTTAGCCCATCCACCCCCACAGCCCCTCCAGCAATCCTCAGTTTGTTCTCTATGTTTAAGAGATATTATATTTATGGTTTGTCCCCCACCCTTGTTTTTTTTTTTTTTTACAAATAGTTTATTGTCAAATTAGTTTCCACATAACACCCAGTGCTCATCCCACAAGTGCCCTCCTCCATGCCCATCCCCCCTCCCCCTACATCCATCAGTTCTCAGTTTTTGTCAGCATTCAAGAGTCTCTCATGGTTTGCCTCTCTCCCTTTCCCCCACCATTTCCCCCTTCTTCTGCCCCTTGGTCCTCTGTTAAGTTCCTCCTAATCCTCCTATACATGCAAACATATGATATTTGTCCTTCTCTGCCTGACTTATTTCGCTCAGCATAACACCCTCAAGGTCCATCCATGTTGCTACACATGGCCAGATTTCATTCTTTCTCATTGCCATGTAGTATTCCATGGTATAGATAAACCACATCTATATCCATAGATGTGAATCAACGATCCATTCGTCCGTTGATGGACACTTAGGCTTTTTCCATGTTTTGGTTATTGTTGAGAGTGCTGCTATGAACACTGGGGTACATGTGCTCCTATGCCTCAGCATTTCTATATCCCTTGGGTAAATTCCTAGCAGTGCTATTGCTGGGTCATAGGGAAGTTCTATTGTTAATTTTTTGTCCCCCTCCTTGTTTTTATATTATTTTTGCTTCCCTTCCTTATGCTCATCTGTTTTGTATCTTAAATTCCACATATAGTGGAGTCACGATATTTGTCTTTCTTTTTTAAGTTTATTTATTTTGACAGAGAGAGAGAGGGAGAGAGTGCACAAGTGAAGGAAGGGCAGAGAGAGAATCCCAAACAGGCTCCACACAGTCAGTGCAGAGCCCGATGTGGGGCTCGAACCTATGAACCATAAGACCATGAGCTGAGCCGAGATCAAGAATCAGATGCTTAACAGACTGAGCCACCCAGTTGCCCCTCCTTTTCCTAAAATCAAACATGATTCAATAGGTTCTAAGAGATTTCCAACAGTAGCTTTATCTTATTTTCATTAAGCAATATTGTTGAGTTTCTGACATGTGGTTTTAAAAACCCCATTTGGAGCACTGATATGACATACTGCCCCAGTTTCTGATCTGGGTATCCTGGTGGCCCCAGAATGTGCATATAGATGGACAATAAGAAGTCACTGTGTTGTGGGAAGGGATTCTCTGGAACTCGGCCTGAGGCAAAGCCCTTCGTAGGTCTCCTCTTTTTGTTTACATTTTATGTTTGGAGGATGGCAGGGAGTGGCTAATGAAAATCATTGGTAAGGAGAAAAAAAGGACGGGCAGCGGCTCCCAGTGATTCCCTCACGGTCTGTTCTGTTCTCTTGCATGTTGCCTCTCTTAGGGTTAACGCTTCACTTCTACGCAAATTAGAATTGGCATCTTTGGTAGTTTTTCCTCTAGTCCCGTTTTTGAAACTGCCTTCAACAGGACACCCTCAAGTCTTAAAATTCAACTTAAATCCTTCAGAAAACCATGCTGATTGCACCAGATACATTCCTGTGTTCCACATTTCCCTTTCCCATTTCTGAAATCAGTACCACAACGCCCAGGGCCTCAGAAACTGGGCCTCTGTCATTGCCGACCCGTCACTGTCATCTACCCTATCTAGCTCTGTATTTCTTCTTGCCAGATCCCCAGTCACACTTCCTAAGAAAATCATTTGGATTTGTGAGGACTACCTGGGTTAAGTACTCCAGACCAGGAGGGCAGTTTGGTATAGGAGGTGGCCCTGGCATCCATGTTATTGGAACAGGCTGATTTGGCATTTGGTATTTGCCGGGCTGGTACTGGGTGGGATGGGCAGCAACAGCTGGCCGGTACGGGAAGAAGGTACTGGGCTGCTGCGGACTGTGGTATCCCACTGGCCAGCCTCCCGCGTAGCCTGCAGGTGGAGCGACAGCTGGTCCAGGGGGTCCTGTATCCAAGACCAAATGAAAACTTTATACACTATTAACACTATAACCCAGTGGAAGTTAGAATGACCTTTTACATAACAAAGACATGTATCATACAATATCCACTTAAGAATAAAACATTATCCATTTTCTGAATGTGTACCACATACCAACAATGTACTAAGGGGCTTTACATATTATCTCATTTAATCCTCTTAAACCTCAGAAGACAGTTATTCTACACAAAGGTATAGAAGTAAGATTTGAAACATCAAGTTATGTGTTGGCCTCTCTCTCTTTTAGGTTCTTCCTCTGGAGATATTAATAATATACCTACTCCATTAGGTTATAATGGGCGTAGCACAAGACTTAGAACAACCCTGGCACTGTACATTTATGTTATCGTTTATTACTGTTATTAAGGTCATTAACATAGTCACTTTAAAGGGGTACTTTTCATGATGGCTGTATCATTCACCCCATTAGCAGTCATTCCCTATCTTCTGCCCCAGTCCCTGGAAACCACTGTCACTACAAATTTGCCTAAACGGGACATTTCATATAAATGAAATTACATAACATGTATCTTTTGTGTCTGGTCTCTTTCACTTAGTGTAATGTTTTCAAGGTCACCCATGCTGTAGCATGTAATAGTACTTCATTCCTTTTATCACTGAGTAATATTCTATTGCATGGACAAAGCACATTTTATGTATCCATTAATCAGCCGATGGACATTTGGGTTGTTTCCACTTTTTGGCTTTTGTAAATAACACTACTGTGAAATTAGTGTATGAGTTTTGGTGTGAACATAAGTTTTCAATTCTTGAGTATAAACCCAGGAGTGAAACTAGCCTTAATTTTTTGAAGAACTGGCCCAACTGTTTTCCAAAGTGGAAATTCATTTGTTTATACTCCTGCTGAACTCATTTATCAGTGCTGAGTGTTTGTGTGTGTGTGTGTGTATGTGTGTGCATATTCCTTATGATTTTCCACATACAAGCTGATGTCGTCTGCAAACAGAAATAGGTTTGTTTCTTCCTTTCCAATGTGGATGACTTTTACTACTTTTCCTTGCCAAACTGTCCTGCCTAAAACCTCTATACAGTGTTGAATAGAAATGGCATAAAGAGATATCATTTTGCTCTTGACCTTAGGAGGAATGCTTTTAGCTTTTGCTATTAAACATGATGTTAAGCTGTGGGTTTTTCATAGATGACTTTTATTAGGTTAAGGAAGTTCCCTCCTATCCCTAGTTTGTTGAGTGTTTTTTATTATGCAGGATGTTTCATTTTGTCAGATGCTTTTTCTCTATCTAGTGATATGATCATATGATTTTTGTACTGTATTCCATTAATATGATACATACACTGACTGATTTTCATATGACAAACCAACTTTATCTGATACTTGGGATAAACTGCATATGGTCATGGTAATAATCCCTACTATATATTGTTAGATTTGGTTACTACATTGTTAGTATTTTGTGGAGCATTTTTACATCTATATTTATGAGGAATATTACTCTATAGTAATTTTCACAGTGTTCTTTTATAATACATTTTAATTTTTGTAAGCTTTTTAATAATGTCTCCATTTTCATTCTTGATTTTGATATTTTAAATCTTTTTCTTGGTCAGTCTGGCTTAGGATTTCTCAATTTGTTGACATTTTCAAAGATCCAACTTCTAGTTTTGTCCATCTGGTCCACTGCTTTTCACTATTTCATTTACCTCTATTTTAATTTCTCCTACTTGCTTACAGCTGGGCTTCTTTCTAAGGTGGAAAGTTGGGTTGCTGATTTGAGATCTTCTTTTTTTAAAAAAATTTTTTTCTAATGTTTACTTATTTTTGAAAGAGAGAGAGAACAGAGTGTGAGTGGGTGGGAGCAGAGAGAGAGAGGGAGACACAGAATCGGAAGCAGGCTCCAGGCTCTGAGCTGGCTGTCAGCACAGAGCCTGATGCGGGGCTCAAACCCACGAACCGTGAGATCATGACCTGAGCTGAAGTCGGACACTCAACCGACTGAGCCACCCAGGTGCCCCATATAGCTACAAATTTCTAAGCTCTGTCTTAGTTGTATCCTGTAAGCCTTGGTATATCGTGGTTTTATTTATCTCAAAGTATTTTCCAATTTCTCCTGTGATTTCTTTTGCCCTTTTAGTTATTTAAGGGGGTGTCAATTTCCTCAGATATCCCAAATTTCCTTCTCTTTTTATTACTAATTTTATTCCATTGTGAAATCTATATGATTTCAGTTGTTTTAAATTTGTTGAGATGTGTTTTATGGCTTAATCAGTAGCTCTATCCAAGACAATGTCCTATGTGCACTTAAGAAGAATATATACTCTACTGTTATTGGGTAGAGAGTTCTACATACATATCTATGTTAGTTTGCTTGATAGTATTATTTACAGCCTCTAGTTCCTCTTTGATCTTCTGCTTAGTTATTCCATCCATGATTGTAAGTGGGGTACTGTAGTCTCCAACTGGTATTTAGGGAGTTGTCTATTTTACCATTTAATTATGTCATTATTTGTTCCATATACTTTGGAGCTCTGTTTTTAGATGTATATAATTGTTATATCTTCTTGGTGGATTGAAACTTCTGTTATTATAAAATGTTCTTAATCTCTATTAATAATTTTTTCCTTAAGGTACATTTTGTCTGATCTAAGTACAGCTATTTCATTAATTCTTGACAACTAAGTGAGAAACATCATTCTAATATAACATCTTACAATCTTTACATACATTTGTGGGCTGTAAAATCAATTTAATGATTCACAATTATGATGTTTAAAATAAGATTTGCCACACTAGAATATAGAAAACAATCAAACTGTATTGCCTATATGCTGTATACTCACTGAACTGAGTACTGCTTGGTGAAATGTTTTATATATATATATATAAAAGTTTACTGCTGGTCATAGTAGATAGTCATCAAGAATATCTGAGGGGCGCCTGGGTGGCTCAGTCGGTTAAATGTCCGACTTCGGTTCAGGTCATGATCTCACAGTCCGTGGGTCCAAGCCCTGCGACGGGCTCTGTGCTGACAGTTCAGAGCCTGGAGCCTGCTTCAGATTCTGTGTCTCCCTCTCTCTCTGCCCCTCCCCTGCTTGCTCTCTGTCTCTCAAAATAAAACAAAGACATTAGAAAAATTTTTTTAATACTATTTGAGGGGGCACTTGGATGGTTCAGTCGGTAGAGCATGGGACTCTTGATCTTGGGGTTGTGAGTTTGAGCCTCACATTGGGTGTAGAGATTACTTAAAAAAAGAAAAAATTAAAAAAAAAAGAATGTTTGAAAGACAGTGATTTAAAGATCTTTTTGTTTAACCAATGTAAAGAAAGAAAAAATTCTATTCTAGAATGGAAAAGATGGAGACGACGTTACAAAACTGATGCATAGAAGTTTGTTTTCACCATGGTTGGAAATAGTTTTGTGGACACTTTCCTCAAAGGGAAAAAACAAATCCTACCTTAATATAGGTGAAACTAAGTTTCTCTCTGAAAATTGCTGTCTGTTTATTAAATTATTGTTTATAATGTGTGTATGTGCATGTATCTGTGTTTTCTTCTATATGTGCTCAAAATACTAGGATGTTGGTACAGAAGACAGCAAGGGGTGTGAGAAGCGTTAGAAACCAGGATTCACCTCATGTCTGAGTAAGTATGCCATCGAGAACAAGACAAGGATGGTTAAGCTTAGGCTGTGATGTTGAATCCCCACTGATGGTGGTGTATTTCTCAGAGTAACCCAGGATCTGGGCTCTGTGGGTCTACAGACTTGGGAATCGGGTATCTTTTTGTTATCAAAAAGCAATTCCACACAGCTGTGTAGGACAGGGACTGATATTCCCTGAAAAAATGGGAACAGTCCATTAGTAACTGCTCTTTGAAAAGGTGACTCGTACAGAATGAAAAAGATTTGAAAGAGTGGGTTAAGGTGGAGACTGAAAGCCCATAGAACTAGTTCCTGAACACCATGCACACTGGGAAGGAACTCCTGTTAGAGGAAACTATGTTTACTATTTTTATAAACGAGAGGAGTTAATGCTTACTGAGGTTTCATTATGTTCCAGGCACTATCCTAACTACTTGACATCAACCTTACATGATAGGGACTATTACTATCCTTAATTTATAGGGGAAGAAACTGAGGCATAAGGAGGTTAAGTAACTTGCTAAAGAATCAATAGTGTCAATATGTGACATGGTGAGAATTAAAACTCAAGCATTCTGACTACAAGGGCACCCTTAATTAAATTATGATAATACTCCGTTTAGATCAAAGGCTAGGAAGAGGCTAGGAACATCCAAAATACTGCTCTGGATAGCCATGGCACTGCAGACTAAAAGAGCAACTCTAGCTGACAGCTGTGTTTTTAGGCCTTAAGTTTTGCACGGACACACACACACACACACAACCTCCTATGGGATGTCACGGTATAGGAAAAAACAGCTTAGTTGGCAGAAAGCTGGCTTCAGAAAGAGTAAGAGGTGACCCAGCATAGAGGCAAAGCAGTGGTCTGCGGTCCGCCAATGCTGAAGAAACCAGCCACCACCAGGAAAGGACATTTCCCAAGATTTCCAGAAGTTGTTTGGGATGAGAAATAAAGACAGCACTTCCAGTAAGGCAAATTGGACCAAGGGTCAGATTCTGGTGATTTGGGCATTAATGGGAAGAGTGGCTTTTGAAGCTCATGAAGTCTGGGACATTTTGGTTACTCATAAAAACCCCACTCGTGAGCATCATGAATTGTAGAACCCTTTCTGCCAATACTCTCTGAAAATAAGGCCATGAAATAAATCAAACATTCCTTTATTTGGGAAACATCCCACAAGCTCATTTCAAGGACCTGCTTCTGTGCCTGCTGCCAGAGACAGAAAGACACATCTGTCTTCAAGGACATTCAGTTCTGGAGAAAATACACAGATTAAAAAATAAAGAGAATGGTTATCAAGAAGCAAGTAATTTGTGTGATTAGAGGTGGACTCACACTGTTTGAAGAGATTAGAGAGGAGCAGCGCCTAACGCAGGCAAAGGAGGTACCCTGTGGTGCTACTGCTGACGTGGTAGACCCAGCTGGCACGTCCACAAGCAGCAACGGTTTTACGGGGAGAGTAGGTGCAAAATGAACAGTTGTAGGGGGGAAACCCAGCATTGCAGGGGGGGCAAGGTTATGTGTGGAGATTTAGCAGACACAGCTAGAAGAAAGGAGGGGAGTGAAGATTATGAAGGATCTATACTCTATGCAAAGAACCTAAACCGTATGCCAATAAAACAGAAAGTGAAGTCACTGGACTCACACTGAGAACCTTTGTGGATGAGGCTGGATTAGGCAGGAGGTGCCTGCCAGAATGCCGATGGAAGGCAAGGAGGTCTGGAATGCAGGAAGTAGTAAGTGGAAGAAGATAAGCAGTTCCCTCTCAGTAACAGACTGGATATGAGGAAAGATTCCCACATTCTGACCTGGGTCCCTGTAGCCTCCAGAAGAGGGAAAGAATAGAGGGAGTGTGTTTCGGAGCAAGATGCCCAAGCTGAACTGCAGACCACTGAGCTTGAGATCCAGGGTCCTTCCAGGGGAAGTGAGCTACAGGCAGCTGGAAATGCAAGTTCAGAGCACAGGAGACTGAGATGCATGGGGGCTAAAGAAGTCTTAGGTGGCTAAAGGCAAACAAATTACAGAGATCATGCAGGAGGGCTTTATAAAAGGTTAGGTGAATGGAACAGGTGAAAGGAGACAAGGCGGGGCAGGGGAGTGTACCAACTCTGGGGAATACCAGTTTTTAAGGACAGGGGACATAACAGGTCTTGAGAGAGACTAATCAGGAGAGACTAAAAGAAAAATAACAGTAACTAGAAACAATGTCAAATTTGAGCTACATAAGGAAAAAACAGAAACAAAAATATCTGTGTCTTTAGAACAAAGCAGAAGAAAATACATGTTTCAGATTGTCATGAAGAATATACTTCAATTCCTGTAAGAACTGTGTTGCAGAGCACCCAAATTAGACTGGAAATCAGATATCCTTCCTCCCTTTTCCTGAACTATTTAAAACAATGCAACTGAAAGTCATATAAACTATCTTAAAAATACTGTTTTATCACTTGAGTGAGTTGCTTAATTCTTGTAATATTAACCATATGAGTTTTAAAAAATGTTATTTTTTAGAGAGCAGGTGAAATAGTGAGAACGAGCGGTGGAGAAGTAGAGAGAGGATGGCAGAGGATCTGAAGCAGGCTCTGCACTGACAGCAGTGAGCCTGGTGTGGGGCTCAAACTCATGAATGGCTAGATCATGACCTCAGCCCAAGCTGGACACTCCTAGTGAGTCACCCAGGCACCCCAACCGTGTAATTTTTTAACATAAAGCATATCATGTAATGAAATTTGAGGATCAATAAATTAGAAAATTTTAATTTAGGTTACGGGGCTATTCAGCATAGAATATATTTCTAAGCAAAATTATATATACACATTTATGTAATCGAATGGTTTCTGTTGTATGTATTATTCACAGGTGTTTGTTAACAAAAGGATAAAACATGATTGAATTATGCGTAATAAAGAAAGCATATTATATTCCCTTTTGTGAGATTTCTGTTTTCTCACTTATTTTGAATATTATCACCCTTTTTTATTTCAAGAAATTATAGGAGAGCCTTGGTGGCTCGTTTGGTTAAGCGTTTGACTCTCAATTTTGGCTGGGATCATGATTTTATAGTTCATGAGCTTGAGCCCCAATATGGGGCTCTCTGTATCTGACCATTTGTCTAAATTTGCATCAGTAACTGTCAAAGTGATCTATATAATATATTCATTGTTCACTCTCTATCCAGGAATCTAGATTCCATTAGAACAGAGACACTACCATTTCTTCTTTTTTTTTTAATGCTTATTTCTTTATTTTGAGAGAGAGAGAGTGTGTGAAAGAGCTTGAGAAGGGGAGGGGCAGAGAGAGAGGGAACCTGCTTCAAATCCTCTGTCCCCTTGCTCTCTGCCCCTTCCCTGCTCTGTCTCAAAAATAAATAAACATTAAAAAATGTTAAATAAAAAAATAAATTATGTCATTTCTTTTCGTTAAATCAACTACACAAAACAAAAGTGTCTTTATTAATTCTTCTCTTAAACACATTTGGTACAAAATTATTTTCAGTGGGAACACATGTCCAGTACTATAATGCAAGTAGAAATTAAATAATTGAACTTTAACAATTAATTAAAGATAAATACTTTACAGTATTTCAAGTTCCTTTATGTGAATTACAGGGACATAATTTCCATCTGTTGTCATAGATATATACATAGTACAGCCACTAGGTGGCGATCACAATGAATTTTTGTTACTGTATTTCATAACCGAAAATTCAGTTTTATGCTCTATACCATAATGTTTTTCAATTTATCCAGTCATTTGATTTGAATGACATATCTTCTAATATCATGCTAATTTTTTTGACACAGAGAGGAAGAGACACTTTCCCAGACAAGCAGAACATGGTTTATAATCAATGTTACTTAGAAAGAGTAGAGGGATGCCTGGGTGGCTTGGTTGGTTAAGTGTCCAACTTTGGTTTCAGCTCAAGTCATGGGCTCACAGTTCGTGAGTTTGAGCCCCACATCAGGCTCTGAGCTGACACTGCAGAGCCTGCTTGGGATTTTCTCTCTCCCTCTTTCTGTCATCCCCTGCTCAAGCTCTCTCACCCTCTCTTTCAAAACAAATATATGTTTAAAAAAAAAAAAAAAGAAGAAATGGTAGTGTCTCTGTTCTAATGGAATGTAGGTTCTTGGATACAAAGTGACCCATGAATATACGACAGATTATGTAGATCATGTTGACAGTCACTGAAATACATTTAGAGAATGGTCAGATACAGCATGATTATAATTTAGGACTGTCAACATTGTGGATTTAGTGGATCATCCCAAAAAAGTGTCTTAATTCCCCCTACCCACTTAGCCCATCTGCCCAGCTGCCCCACAGCCCCTCCAGCAACCCTGTTTGTTCTCTGTATTTTAAAAGTCTCTTAGGTTTTGTCCCCCTCCTTGCTTTTATATTATCTTTGCTTCCCTTCTCTTATGTTCATCTGTTTTGTATCTTAAATTCCTCATATGAATGAAGTCATATATTTGTCTTTCTCTGACTGACTTAATTTCGTTTAGCATAATACCCTCTAGTTCCATCCATGTTGTTGCAAATGGCAAGATTTCATTCTTTCTGATTGCAGAGTAATACTCCGTTGTGTCTATATACTACATCTTCTTTATCCATTCATCTCTCCATCAGTGGACACTGGGCTCTTTCCATATTATGGCTATTGTCGATAGTGCTGCTATAAACACTGGGGGTGCATGTGCCCCCTGAAACAGCACACCTAAATTCCTTGGATAAATGCCTAGTAGTGCATTGCTGGGTCACAGGGTAGTTCTATTTTTAACTTTCTGAGGAACCTCCATACTGTTTACTAGAGCGGCTGTGCCAGTTTGCATTCCCACCAACAGTGCAAAAGAGTTCCTCTTTCTCCGCATCCTCAACAACATCTGTCATTGCCTGAGTTAATTTTAGCTACTCTGATGGGTGTGAGGTGGTATCTCATTGTGGTTTTGATATGTATTTCCCTGATGATGAGTGATGTTGAACATTTTTTCATGTGTCTGTTAGTCATGTACAGATAGTTCTTCCTGCCAGGCATGGTCCCTTCCTCCTTTTCTTTGAGTGAGAAATTCCTCATCAAGCCAGAAAAATCTGACTACCTCAGTTAGGTCTTCCCTCAAATCCTCGTCAGAGCCAGTTACTGTCATCTTGGCCCTACAACATTCTCTTCATATTTTCATAACGGAGCAAAGAGAATGCCATCAGTACTTGTACAATTTCCTTCCTCAGTAGCCTACAAATATATTCTAATTGACATCTGGTAAACTACTTGGCATCCTGGAGACATTCAATACTTATTTACTGAATCACTCAATTAATTACTCTTCAAAGCAATCTTAACTATTATTATGGTTTTCTGAAGAGCTGAAAGAACCTTTCTGATTATTTAACCCACCTGGTACAAAATGGGAATTGTAGTCAGGAGGCGCATCAGGCCTTTGACTGGGAGACTTCTCCTCTGCAGGCTGCTCAGGGGCTGTGGGGATGACACCTGGGAAGAGGGAGGGGCCTTGATTCAGAATGGAAGTGATAAGGTAATAACAAGATATACTCATTTTTTCTTGTCCATGAATATAACTAATATGAAATACACTCTTATAAGGACACATAATTCACTATGTATATTAGATTTTAACCTGTTAATATATATTGAGAAATTTTCAGGCTGACTACAGGTTTTTTTTTAAAAAACTAAGCAATTATGCACATTGTGCTATGATCAAAGCAGCACACTTTCATGCTGGTGGTCCGGCTGACTTCAGGCTGACTCCCACCTACACGAACTCCTTGCACACTTGCAAAAACTGTTTGCCCCACTATATGTTAGGGAATACAGAGTCATATACAGAGTGACCCTTATTTTTTCCCTAACCTTTTTTTGGAAAATGACTGGGTTTAAATAAATTCAAAACATAACATGATGAATAACAATGGCTTACAGTGCAGTGGTACCACACACAACTCCATTAGAGGTGGTTTAATCTACACCGCCAGTAAAAGCAATCTTGCTTGCTGTAATTGCTGCAAGGAAGGAACTGAACTCACTTTCCATGATGCTATCTTGTCCCCTTGTATTCCCTACGAGGAAAAATTCTGAATCCATTAACTAACTGACTTTTATCACAAGAAAAACCCAAATCCCATTCAGTGGTGGTTCTGGTCTCCGGCCATCTCCTGCGTTGCTGGAAACTGCAGGGCCGGCTTCGGAGCCCTCCTCTATGCGGGCAGGCTAATGATTACTATACCCCTCTTTGCAGACTTATTTTCTTATTCTTTTCTTACTTAATTTTCCCCACGTATTTTAGAGATCTTTCAGTACATATGTGCCTGTATAAATCCCTTGGAATCCTTTTCTGTCAAAGGCAGATAGAAATGTTCACATGTATAAATGAACACATACATGTTTTCTCCAAATACTAAAAAAAATTTTTTTTAAACTCAAAAGGAAATAAACTCCAATTTTTTAAGAAAAAAAAATTGAAAATAAAGCATATTAAAATTTATTCATAAAAATTTACCTGACATTTTGAAGAATTCCACTTAGTCCTGAAAAATAAAACATTTTTTTATTTATTTTGAAAGAGAGAGAGAGAAAATAAGCAGGGGAGGGGCAGAGAGGCAGACAGAGGATCCGAAGCAGGCTCTGTGCTAACAGCAGAGAGCCCGGTGTGGGGCTCAAACTCACGAACCGTGAGATCATGACCTAAGCCGAAGTTGAACGTTTAACTGACAGAGCCACCTAGGCACCCCCAAAATAAAACATTTTAATACCTTATGATAGATATATGGTTACTCTTATTACTTAGTGATACATGTAAAAATCTGTAATTTTTTAAGCTGTCTGTTACCTTTCATTCATTCCTTCATTAATTCAACAAACACTTACTGAGCACCTATTATGTGTCAGGCACTATTGTGGATGTTGAAAAGACAGCAGTATGAAATTAATATGATGCTGTATGTGAACTATACTGGAATGAAAATAAAATAGAGGAAAACAAAGCAGCTACAGCAGTAAACCAGATGGGCACACCTGGAGCTTATAACTAGTGGAGTTGGACTTAAAAACATGTCGAATTTTTAAGTTTTAAATTTAGATACAGATAAGGAGGCAAGATGGCACAGAAGTATGGAGCTCCATACATTTCACTCGCCCACATCTCTCAAACGGACAAATCCTGATACCATTGGACACTGAACCGCGGGAGTCTGGTAGGAAAAGAGACAGAGTCCACTAAGAAGACAGCCTCCTAGACACATGACTGTGAACTGGGGAAGATAGAAACAGGCCGGACCCGGAGACATGGAGGGGAGGGAGTCCCCTTCTCCCCAGGGAAGAGAAAGAGCAGCTAAAAATACTCATAGCACTGTCCCTGGAGAAGAGAAACACCTCGGCCCAGGACAGAGAGGGATCCTATCATCCCATCTCTAACCCAGAGGCGTTCAGAGAGGGATCCCGGTTCTAGCTGTGGCGCTGTCTTTGGGCTGGATGCCCTGGTCCCAGGTGGCGCCAGAAGAAACTGCTCCACTGCTCTCTTGGCTCCATCCCCGGCTGGGAAGCGGCCCAGCATGCGGGATTACATTTTGGGTAGTATCAATAAAGTGCGTGGACAAAGATATGGAAACGAGGTTGGGCTTAGGGCACAGAACACTGCCCACCTTGGCTATTCCTGCGGCACAGAAAGATAGGACACAAAAGAGTGATTTGCAACACTTAGTTCGAGAAGGGACTGGGCGGGGCACCACCATTTTTCTCCCCACAGCCACCAAGGAGGGGCCTCAGGGAGCAGCCTGTGGGAATGCAGTGGAGGTGAGACCTGACTATACCAAACCATGCCCATCAGCACTGGAGGGCAGCTTTTTATTTTTTATTTATTTATTTTTTAACCAGAGCCCTCGGCATGACCAACATGGATGCACTGCCGTGATTAATTCTAGATCAATTTTTCTATTCAGATATATTTTTCCTTATCTCATTCTTATCCGTCTCCTCTGCTGGACTGGGCACTCTGGTCACTGGTTTGCTTAAACGGTCACATTTAACGCATTCTCTAGATGCATACTCTACACTTCCATCATTATCTTCCTATCTCTCTCTCTCTCACTCTGGACTAATCAGACTGTATAGTTTCTTTGGGTAACATTATCTTCGTTTCTTTCTCCTCGCCTCCTACCATATTCTCCTCTTTCTCTCTGAATTAAGCCTCTTAGTCTCTCTGCCTGGTCATTGCCCAGTTTTGCTTCCTCCCTTTCCCTGTCATTTCTCTTTGTACATGCTCTTCCAACAGCACTGAATACACCCTGCTCTTCATTTGTATCTGGGAAGTCTGGTTTTATGCTTTTTGACTGTCTTTTGTCTCTTCTTTCTTTTTTTCTTCCTTTTTTCTTTTTCCCTTTCAGTGTGCTTGTTTGTTGGATTTGTCTGTGCATTTGCATGCCTTTGTTCCCTGTGCGTTTGTCTGTTTTCCTTTTCAGGGCTACCTCAAGAAACAAGCCAAAGTAAACATGGTGGAGAGTCCCAAATACCACTATGAGTAGGGAAATAAAATAACCAAAGTCTCAACAAGAGAGACCAAGAAACACCATTAAAAGAACACTTCCTGGGGGGCGCCTGGGTGGCTTAGTCGGTTAAGTGTCCAACTTTCGCTTAGGTCATGATCTCGCAGTTTGTGGGTTCGAGCCCTGTGTTGGGCTCTGTGCTGACTGCCAGTTCAGAGCCTGGAGCCTGTTTCAGTCTGTGACTCCCTCTCTCTCTGACCCTCCCATGCTCATGCTGTGTCTCTCTCTCTCTCCTAGAAATAAATTAAAAATAATTAATTAATTAAAAAACACTTCCTGAATGAATAGTCCCTGGACAGTCAATGAGCCTTCTTTAATATAGCAGTACTTGCAGGTAACAAGCTTTTAAAACTGACAAGAGACAGAAATCTAGCCTAAATGATGACACAGAAGAACTCTCCTCTAAAGAAATTTCATGAAGAAGTGACAGCCAAAGAACTGCTCAAAACAGATATAAGCAACATAACTGAACAAGATTTTAGAACAATAGTCATAAAATTAATCACTGAGATTGAAAAAGGCATGAAAGACATCAGAGCAGCTATTGCTACAAAGACTATGAACCTTAAAAATAGTTGTGATGAATTAAAAAATGCTATAAATGAGGTGAATAAAATGGAGGCATCCAATACACGGATTGAAGAGGCAGAGAGGAGAATAGGTGAATCAGAAGACACAATTATAGAAAAAGAGGAAGCCAAGAAAAAGAGAGATAAACTGATTCAGGAATATGAAAGGAGAATTCAAGAAGTAAGTGATAAAATAAAACAGAACAATATCCGTATCATAGGAATTCCAGAAGAGGAAGAGAGAGAGAAAGGCACCGAAGGGGTACTTGAACAAAATATAGCTGAGAACTCCTCCAACCTGGAAAAGGAAATAGACTTTGAAATTCAAGAGGCACAGAGAACTCCCCTCAGATATAACTTGAATCGATCTTCTGCATGACATATCATAACGAAACTGGCAAAATATAAGGACAAAGAGAGAATTCTGAAAGCAGCTAGGGATAAAAGGGCCCTAACATACAAAGGGAGACCTATCAGAGTGGTTACAACCCATCTACTGAAACTTAGCAGGCCAGAAAGGAATGGAAGGAAATCTTCAATGTGATGCACAGAAAAAATATGCAGCCAAGAATCCTCTATCCAGCAAGCCTGTCATTTAGAATAGAAGGAGAGATAAAGGTCTTCCCAAAGAAAAAATGGAAAGAATTCATCACCACTAAACCAGCCATACCAGAAATCCTAAGGGGAACTCTATGAGAGAAATGTTGTCAAGGAACACAAGGTACCAGAGACACCACTATGCATAAATCATACAGAGAACACAATGATTCTAAGCCCATACTTTTCAATAATACTGAATGTCAATGGACTAAATGCTCAAACCAAAAGACATAGGGTTATCATAATGGATAAAAAATATAGAACCCATCTATTTGCTGTCTACAAGAGACTCATTTTTAGACCTGAGGACATCTTCAGATTGAAAGTAAGGGGGTAGAGAAATATGAATCATGCTACTGGAAGTCAAAAGAAAGCCCGAGTAGCCATACTTATATCAGACAAACTGGACTTTAAAGTAAAGGCAGTAACAAGGGATGAAGAAGGGCATGATGTAATAATTACACGATCTATTCATCAGGAAACACTAACAATTATAAAAGTCTATGCAGCAAATATGGGAGTACCTAAATATATAAAACAATTAATCAGAAACAGAAACAATCTTATGGATAAGAATTTGCTAACAGCAGGGGACTTTAATACTCCATTTACAGCAATGGACAGATCAACTAGACAGAAAATCAATAAAGAAACAATGGATTTGAATGACACATTGGACCAGATGGATTTGACAGATATATTTAAAACTCTACATCCTGAGGCCATGGAATTCACTTTCTTCTCAAGTGCACATAGCACATTCTCCAAGATAGATCACATACTAGGACATAAAACAGCCCTCAAGAAATATAAAAGAATTGAGATTATACCATGCACACTTTCAGATCACAATGCTATGAAACTTGAAATCAGCCACAGGAAGGAGTCTGGAAAACCTCCAAAAACATGGAGGTTAAAGAACACCCTACTAAAAAATGAATGGGCCAATCAGGCAATTAGAGAAGAAATTAAAAAATACATGGAAACAAATGAACATGAAAACACAACAATCCAAACTCTGGGATGTGGCAGAGGCAGTCCTAAGAGGAAAGTATGTTGCACTCTAGGCATATTTCAAGACACACAAAAAAAAGCTCAAATACAAAATCTAACAGCACACCTAAAGGAACGAGAAGGAGAACAAGAGCACCCCAAACCCAGCAGAAGATGAGAAATAATGAAAATAAGGGGAGAAATAAACAATACAAAATCCAAAAATACCAGTTGAGCAGATCAATGAAACTAAGAGATGGTTTTTTGAAAAAATAAACAAAATAGATAAACCTCTAGCCAGGCTTTTCAGAAAAGAAGAGACCACCCAAATAGACAAAATCACAAATGAAAATTCATTTATTACAACCAATCCCTCAAGAATACAAGCAATTATCAGGGAATACTATGAAAAATTATATGCCAACAAACTGGACAACATAGAAGAAATGGACAAATTCCTAAACACACACACACACTACCAAAATGCAAATGGGAAGAGATAGAAAATCTCAACAGACTCATTACTAGTGAAGAAACTGAATCAGTTATCAAAAATCTCCAAAAAAATTAGAGCCCTGGGCCAGATGGCTTCCCTGGGGAATTTTACCAGACATTTAAATCAGAATTAATACTCATTCTTCTCAAGCTATTCCAAAAAAACAGAAATGGAAGGAAAACTTCCAGACTCATTCTGCAAAGCCAGCATCACTCGGATTTCCAAACTAGACAGAGACCTAGCAAAACAAGAGAACTACAGGCCAATATCCTTGATGAATACAGATGCAAAAATCCCCAACAAGTTACTTGCAAATTGAATCCAACAGC